TAAACCCTAATGTAAACCCTAATGTAAACCCTATAAAAAATCTAAAAATAAGATTATTTACTAAAAGCTATTTTTATAAAATAATAAATAAATAAATAATATTTTAAAGACGAGGAGATATAAAAATAAAATAATAATAAATATAAAAAATAGATATAAAAATTTAAAAATAAAAAATAAATAAATATGGTTTATAATATTTTAATATTAAATTTAAAATAATTTTTAATAAAATAATAGTTTAATTTATCATAAAAATATTTATAATATTTATAGTAGTTGGTTCTCTAATAAAAAAATATTAATATATAATAAATAGATTTATAAGATTATATTTAAAAATAATAAATTTTTATAAATAATTTTTATTTTAAGATTTAGATTAGTTTTTCGGATTATAGAATACTGGATTGATAGAAGATCTCTAGGATTAGTTACTTAGTTTAGATTTATATAAATATTATATATAATAGTTTTCTAAATCTTAAAAAAATATACTAATATAAGATAGTTTTTTTTAAAAAAAATATTATTTATAAATATAGATTTAAGTATATAGTTAATATTCTATTTTAATATTAATTAGAGTATATCCGGATATATTTTAGCTTTACGGATAGGTTTTTAAAATTTTATAAAATAATTATAAAAGCTTTATTATTTCTAGCAGAAATTAAAAAATTTATTTTATATAATATATTCTTTGTTTAAGTCTTCGAAGAAGTATTTTAAAAAAGTAAAAATATCTAAATAGTTAAAAAAATATATTTTTTATTTTTAATATAAAATTATATTTAAATATAAGATTTTTTTTAAGTCGGCTAATAATATAGGTTTTATAAAAAATAGATATAGTATATTAGTTAGTATTAATCTTTATTTTTTTTAGATCTAATTAATAAAATAGCGGAGATTAGAATAGTTATTTTTAAATTTATTAAAGTTAAATAAATATTTAAAAAAACTAAAAATAAAAGATTTAAAATTAATTAATATAACTACTTCTACTAAAACAGCCGTAATATTTTTAGTAATAAATATAGATTTTAAAATATATATAAAAATATTTATTATAAAGATAATAATCTAAATAATTTTAATATATTTATATTAGGCTTAGTTTTTTTTCTTTATAATAATCTTATAGATAATAATAACTTTAAATAATAGCTAGATTATTTTAATTTTTTTCTACTAAGTCTAATTAGATTAAAATATAAATAGGATTTTTTTAGAATAAACTAATTCTAAATCTTTATAGTATATATATAAATTTAGTTATAATAATTATATTATTTTTTAAAATATTTACTAATATATTAAGTAAATTTTTTTTAAATTATTTAATATAGCCGGGGATTATAGAATTACTAGTATTTTATTAAAACTATTATTTCTAAAAATAGAAGCTATATAATATTAAAAAATAGATTAGTATCTGGTTTTTAATTTAGCTAAATAATAAAAATAATAGTATTAGTTAAAAAAATTTTATAATAATTTTTTTAAATTTTTTATTAGCTACTGGATTAGATTATTCTTAGATTTATAAATAAAATATAGCTTAAAAAGCTATAAACAGAATTAGAAATAAGCAGAAGATTAAGAAGTTCTATATATTATATATAGGGCGGTTAAAAAAAGCAGTAAGGTTGCTGGGATTAAGAGGTAGAATAGGTATATTAGGTCTGTACTGTGACAAGCAAATAAAATTAGAATTACTTAAATTAGTAGAAGTATTAAATTAATAATTATATAATATAGATTTTATTTATTAGATAGAAGTCTTTATATTAAGAATTATATTATATTAACTTTTTTCTTTCTTCTTTCTTTCTACTTACAACTCTTTATGCATTAGCCAACTTAATAGAATTATTAATATTATCTTTTCTTCTACTATACTCATAGTATTCCTACCTACTTTCATCACCTACTATATTATTATCTATAGCTATTCCAGTTCTTCTAGACTTTTTTCTGAATATAACTATCTTCTACTCCATAACTTGATCATACAAAATAGAATAGATATATAGGCTCTGCACTATAATAATCACTATCTAATCTAAAAGATATTAGTCTAATTTTTATAATCTTAGACCCAAAATCTTTCTTTTTATCCAAGTATTAAAAGGTATGATATCCTATTTTCAGTATCTGCAAATGTATGCTAATTTACTATATAGAGACCAAAAAGACCAAAAAAAATAGAAAATAGAAAAAATAGCTAAGCTTGCATTGTGACAACAGTTATAATTCTATCTGTGTATATAGTTCAGAATAACAGTCTCGCGACCATTTCTCTTGTCTTTTTTTCCAGGAAGGGAATTCTTGTCTGATTGATTTATCTTCTGTTTATGGCCTCCCACCTCCTTCCCCTTATGTAGAGGTTTTCAGTACTCTGTGGCGACAAATCAGATGCAAATCACGTCGGCACTACGTCATCGATTCTTCTTCATCCCCCGCAAGATCGAGGGAGTACAAGTACGCCTGCCATCCGCGCCTGCTGGGTCTACCCGACCAGTGTCAGCATCAGAAACAAAGCACAATGAGCAGTATCAACAAATCGCCCGTCACGCCGATACCGCAACCCCGGTGGACGACGACCTCCCGCCAGCCCCGCCCGCGTCTCACTTGGCGCCTGATTCTATTCAGCGCTCCCTGTCTCTACATGCTCTACGCCCTCTATTGCATTATCTACGGCTTACCAGTCCTTGCCTCTCCACTGCCGTCCTATACCGGCCCCCATGGCGTCGGTGCGATCGACTTAGAAGTGCCTTTACCGGGCGGGCCTCGACGCGTGGCTGAGGTGGTTCACAAGGCCACCGGACAACCGGTCTTTGACGTCGAGACGCTTTTGGCCACGGTGTATTACCCGACCGACCGGCAATTCCGGTCGCGCAAGCCCCGGTACCCCTGGATTCCGCGGCCCATCAGCCTCACTGCCCAGGGCTACGCCCGCCTGGCCGGCATCGACAACCTCCTCATCCGATCCATTTTCACCGGGGTCCTATGGGCGGTAGGAGGCGCCGTGGCCATCCCCGCCGAGGTCGACGCTCCGCTTCTTCTCCCTAATGATAATAATAATAATACCACTACTACTACCGATGCTTTCCCCGTTACCGTCTTCTCCCACGGCGATGTCAGCTCGCGCACCGATTACACCCAGTTCCTCGCCGAACTTGCCAGTCGTGGCCACGTCATCATCGCCATCGAACACCGCGACGGGAGCGGGCCCGGATCCCTGGTCAAGTCGTCCGCCAGCTCCCCGGGTCGTCCGGTCCCGCCGCTCCGTCTCTCCGATATACAGTCGCCATCAGGGTTACCGACCGATTTTGACCGCGATGGCTTCAAACGCGCCCAGCTGGCCTTCCGCGACGCCGAATTCCATGCAGCCGTCGACCTCCTACACGCCATCAACAACGGCACCCCGATCCTCAACACCCGGGACCCCATCACCACCCTCCCTTCTTGGACCGGCCGCCTCAACATGACCCATCTCACCCTGGCTGGTCACTCCTTTGGCGCGACTGGTGCCCTGCAAGCCCTCACCACCACGCGCTCCACCCCCCCCGCGGCAGGAGTGATCCTCGATCCGGGCAAGTCCAGCGGTCCCCTCAACCCCAATGTCACCGTGCCCATCCTGGTCGTGCACTCCAACTCGTGGTCCCGCACCGTCAGTCCCTTCTACAACCGCCCGCACTTTGACACCGTCCGCGACCTCGTCCGCGCCGTCCCCGCCCCGTCCTGGTTCCTCACGAGCATCGGGACGGCACATCCCAGCATCACCGATGCGCCGCTCCTCGAGCCGTGGCTTCTCAGCTGGACCACTGGCGCCACCCTGAACGTGCACGAAGCTCTGAGTGAATATGTTCGAGTCACGGATGACTTCTTCCACTATGTGCGCGAGGGTGGAGAACGCGGCATTCTGGGCGAGAAAGCAACCCACCATCTGTACGATGAGTGGGTGAGTCCGGAGCGGCAACGGGAGTTCCCGCCGGGTTTGGCGAGACTTTGGCAAGTCCATGTTACGCCCGTCAATCAGACGCGGCCCATGGAGTGTCCCGTGGAGCTTTAATGTAGATGGATATCTGCCAGGCGTGGCGAGTGTTTGAGCTGCAAACCATGTGACCATGGCCAGGCACAATCAGGCTTGGTATCACCACTCAGCGCGTTTGTTACAGACCGATTAGACTAGAAGATAAGCAAGACACATCACAGGGTGAGTCACTCAGACCTAATGTAAAGCCCAAATGGTTCATCTACGTCGGGATGGAGGCAGCGAGGGTTGATGTCCCCTCAGATGGCCGCTTTAAGGGTCAAGTCAAAGATTCAGGCAGCGCCTGAGCCATCGCACCATCCTTAGCACCCATGATCTGCGACAACATCGGTCGTGGGTGCCTAAAGGGCGCTGGCTTGTGCGCCCTTGTCTTGCATCGCACGGATTGCATTTCCTGCTTTGATGAGCTCCTCAGCTTGCGCAAAGCATCCCCGTCCTCGACAGCGGGAAGTAGCCCGACTTAATGCCCTTGAATGGGTGGATTGGTAATAGTTTAGCGATGCAATAAAGCCCAACACCCTATCAATCAAAAAAGCTACATATTCTTGGTTCACCCCAGCACAGCCACGGGCCCTCGAGATTTAAGTCCCCCGAGCATAACTCTCCAAATACTCCGACAGCGCGCTGTCTGCCACCATCCGTGTCAGCCACATGCACAAGGAACAATAGATCATGACCTACATTTGTTGACGTCGTGCCTGATATTCAGCTCCATATACTCCGGTCGGTGCTACCAGTCAACATATTAGAACATAATCCCGTCGTGAATGCTTCCCGACATGATCAAAGCTGGGCACCTGGAGAAGAGATCATCGTACAGCAACACTCGCGCCCCGGACCAGCCAATCCTGGACAATGCGCGCGTCAGCGAGGGTCTGCTCCCACGCCCCCGTCAGGATCCCCACGGCCGTCTCGAACCGCGTCAACGAGTCATGGCCAAAGTCCTCCAGCTCGGCGCGCGTGCGGCGGAGGTTCTCCAGTTCCATCTGCAGTTTCTCCTTCTCCTGCGTCTTGAGGTGGATTCGGTAGTTCGTTTCTTGTCACGGAAATCACGGTTAGTGGTTGCGTTCACCGGGGCTTTCCATTGGGAAAAGGGGTCAGCCCGTACTGGATATGCCAGCCGCGAGACCGGCGATAGCGGCGAAAGAAGCGAGGGCGGTAATTACGCCACCGAGCTGAATGTTCGGGATGAAACATCAGCGATCGAGAATCTTGGGGATGGCTTACTACGTACCACGATCCACGGCGCGAGGGCGGGGAACATCTTCACAAAGGTCCCGGTGGCGGGAATTGACGCGCCGAAGACGATCTCGAAGGCGCGGAGGGAGCTCTCGAGCCGATACAGCTTCTTGTGCAGAGCGTCGAGCTCCTGCTCGACAAGGCGAATTTGCTCGGTGATATCACCTTCTTTGTCCTTGGCCCAGGTGGAGAAGGAGGCGACAAACGCGGCGAAGTCGTCCGTCACAGTGCGGAAACCATCGGTGATTTTCTGGGCGTCGCTTTGGAACGCTGTAGTTCTCTAGGATGAGTCAGTCGAAATGACCGCAAGAAGTTCCACTGCCTTCTCCGTACCTCTATGTACGTCTCGAGAGTATTTCTACGCGTCTGGATGGCGATGCTCTCATTTGCGCAAATCTTGAGGATGCTTTCGTCGAACCCTTGACCCAGCCTTGTTAGATCCAGCCCTAAGACGGGGGCGGGACTCACGCTTAGAGTGGACGCTGACCGTGGCCGCAAAGTCGCGGCTCCCGGCGAGGACATCTCGGTACACATGATGGAGTTTGATGATCTCGGGCTCGAATGCGGAGTGATGGATTCGATCGATCTGCGCAATGCGTAGATGCAAGCCGGCAAATATGTTCTCAATATCGCGGGTCGCCTGCGTGGCCTCGTCGCCGGCGCTTGCGAATCGAGTCTGGCCCTCGGGGGAGGATAGACATTGGCCGCACCCCACCGCGAAGTCTGCCTTTTGCTGGTCGGTCTCCAGGGGCCAGTGGTCGTCGGCGCCGTTTATCAGGATGTCGATCTCGGCGTCCGATAGCTTGTCCGTCGCGTCGAGGACTCTGTCGGGCGTGACATGGTCGCCGACGAGGCCCTCCAGCTTTCTGGCGACTTCGTCGTAGGAAGGAGGGGAGTCCCCGGTTGTGTATGTGGGGGGCGCGACATTCATTTCGATATTCGTATTTCGATTGTTGGACTACCTGAAGGTGGACGGAGTCTTCTTATGTACCGTACAGTACAGGTGGGAAATGAAGATCGACTTCGCGCCCTCAATTGCGAAACACCGTAACACAGCGGAGAACATCGGAATCTGACAGCTGAATATCTCCGCTGTGGCGTGGCTGAAAAGTCCTTCGTGCATGCCGAGCTCATGCAGCGGACGTAAGCGTCCTGCACCTTGAGGTCATTGTTCCCAACAAGCTGATAACACCCCTCTTTTCTCGAACGAAAGCCAAGGCTCCTCGCACAGAATCGAATTCCTGTTTACTTGTACGACAGTCACCACTCCCCATCCGCATCTTTCACATGCTTGCTCCCAGGAATCCAGCGCAGATAAATTGCCTTCATTTTGTTGACCAGACAAACACTTGTTGTCCTCCCCCTCAGAGTAGCAATTCACTTTATTCCTTCGGAGCTGCCCGTGCCCACCCAGCAATATGTCCTCGTCGAGCTCCATCCCCGCCCCCAAATTGCCACCGAGTACTGACATGGTACCCATCGACCACGATCTCTGCTCAGTCCTGAGTACGCTTCAGCTGTGGCACACAACGGAGGATGGCCAAGTGAAGAAAACATCCACCATCCAAGTATCGGGAAAGCAGAGTCGCACGTACATCGCCTTCGCACAAGAAGCCAGCCGCGCCGGGATGAGCAATGAGATCATTTTGACTGCGGTGATCGCCCACGTTATCATGTCCGGATGGCCAGGAACCGCCCTGCATGAGCAGCGAATCCGTGAGATCCGTGAGGTATTTGCCACGATGAAAAGCTCAATTCCACAAGCAGTACTCCGCATACCAAACATGTTGACAAGAATCCAGGACCATAGAATTATGTTGCGTCATAATATCCCGCTTTCTAACAACATCTGCGCCACCTATGACGGTACGGAGCTTCTAACCATCTCCATGCATTAGGCTAACACTCAGAACTGATGTATCGCTGCATCAGAGGTCAAGGATGATGTTGCTCGGTTTTCCACCGATGGATCTCTCTCCATGCACCAGAAAGTGCTACGCATTCACAATTTTATCGCGGTAAATCGAGATCACCACACTGGCTCCAGTGCGGAGAAGATGAACATGCTGACTTGAGATGCTGGCAGCGAGTCCAATTCCCGACATTCTTTGTGACACTCACTAAGTACCGCCTGCTGGAGATCGCCTACGACCTGGCTAGTGCTTGGTCCAGATTCCCAGCTGTGCGCAGCGTCGCTGGTGCAGTGGAGACGGAGGCAGCGAGTAGCAGTGATCATGGTTCCACTAGAAGCTATAAGCAGGAAATCGACCGACTGCGTGGCATGGCTGACTCCCTACCCTACAAAGTAAGCCTTCATGCTGTCCGATGGTGTCAATTTCCATGGCTGATAGAGCAACTTCAGGATGAGCTACCTATGGATCTCCTCAGCATGCCAGTCTCAAAACAACAGCGGGTAGGGTCTCGACGAGCTCCGGACCCAACGATGCTGGTAGACTTTGACCGGCATACCTCCATCCTCATGCGTGTTTGGCAATGGGTCTTGGTGGACTTCCGGCAGATCACGGTGTGGTTCGAGACCGCCGCCGACATGGTCGTCAGTCACACGTTTCCACCAAGTATACGCGTGTACTGACCCGTAGCTAGGCGTATCCATTCTACATGCAACTCTGCCTTGATCGCGGAATGGATATTTGTACGTTACCCGGTCAAATCCCGATCCATGCACACCAGGAGCGGGGAAAGCTGACATCTCTCATTTCAGACGCGGAGATGGCGCTCTACCTTCAACAGTACAGTGATGCGATGGTCCATTGGCTGGACTTCCCGTGAGCTCAAGACTCTGGTGAATCTCATACCACGCTTGTGGGTTTCCAGCTGGTCTTGAGATCAAGGCAACAAGTTTGTGGAAGCTAGGCACCTGGGTGGCAAATACTCTCTATTCTCTCAGGGATCGAGCGGGGTCGGTGCCCGAAGGTCTATTGCAAGTAGGCTAGTCTCCACTGCACGCTTCAGCCGTGCTCTTTTGTGCATACATTAGCGTCAATATCAGGGGTGCGTTTACCTGTTCATATTGCATGCATGTGCGGGGCGGGGCGCTTCCTTTGCTCGGCGTAGTGGCAAAAACAATCTATCAATCAATCAATCATACCCCGCTCTACCTGTAAAGCATGCCTTTGCCACTGGAGATCGGTCTGGTCGCTCAGCCAGCCCTAATGCTGACAAAAGATCGCGCAGTCCAGTCAGTATGCATATTGCTCTTACGTATACTGTAGCACATCTTGTCATAGGCTTTTCGGATCCGTAATCTAGTAAATATAAACTTCATGTTCCCAGCAACAAGCAGAAAGTCCCTACTGGTGTCTGGCAGCCAAACTCATCATCCAGCCCAATACAATCACCACGATCATGTCCGCCACAGCCCCCCCAGCCTACGAGCCACACAGCTCTCCGCCCTCTTACGACTCCCTCGTCGACAAAGTCTGCCAGCTGGTCGGGTCCGACCCGACCCCGCAGAAGTTCATCGATGCCGCCGCCACGCTCTCCGAGAGTGAGATTGAGATCCTCAAGGACGGTGGTGACTTTAGCGACCCAATCAAGAACGAACGGGACAACAAAGTCTTCAGCACGGGCGCAGCGAAGGGGCTGGCCTCGCCCGAGTGCGCAGAGCACCTGCGCGCAGCGTCGAACGCGGCAGTAGAGGCGTCCAACGAGATCGAGCGCCTCTTCGTGAGCCTGCACCTCAAGATCGCGCAGATCGACCGCATCCATCATTCCGGTTTTGAGCCGAAGTTGGTTGAGAACCAGGTGGTGGGTGGTCAGCTTTTGTGCCCTAACAAATGCTAACGGTGGCCAGGCATATCGAGTGGTTCTCGCCGACAGTCGGAACCTTGCGACCGATATCGCGGTCCATGGCAATCGTACGTGCGCTTGCCTCTGCCCCCGCGAATCTTTGGGGTCTTAGGGGAAGTCGTTGTAGCTCACACTGCCTAGGATTCGATGACATGATTATCCCCTTCTGCTTCGATGAAAGCATTTCCGTAGATAGTCGACGCACAGTGCTGAACCGGTTTCTTGATGTATGTGATCTCCGCTTTGCAGCCCCGCAAATTAGAATCGGAAAGACGAGAAATGTACTCGTTGGACTGGCAATGGCTGACGAATGTACAGCAAATGGATACAGCGCAAGCCGATGCCCGTACCATGGAGCACAAATTCAGCCAGCTCCAGACAAACTTCACCTCCTTCATCGCCGAGTTCTCTGTCTGGGCCCGTGACCGGGAAGAGCAGCTCAAGCAGGAGATTGCCCGGGTGCTGGAGGAGCTCGAGGAGCTGCAGGACAAGCTAACATCGCTGAATACCTCGATCCTCGCGCTCGGGGGTGGCGCGCTGCTGCTGCCGGCCATCACCGCGTTGGCCGCCGCAAGTGGCATCCTCGGACCTTTCCTTGCGGTAAAGAACAACCCTTTTCCATAGCAGAGTGGGATTTAGTCTGACTAGAGATATTGCATAGATTGGTGGGCTGATTGCGCTTGGAGTGAGTGTCGCGGCAATTGTCTCGATGGCGGCGCTTGCAGTCGCCAAAGCCGGTCAGTTCTCCCCCTCCCCGAAAGTATCAAGCTTGATCAACAATTGAGACAACTAGCTACCGAGTCGCAAATCCGCGCCAAGGAGCGGGAGAAAGCATCGCTCGAGAATCAGATCGAGCAGATCCGGCTGGCCCGCCAGGAGCTCATGGACGTGGGCGAGGACAAGCTCGAGGCCTTCCGCGTCAACCTCAATGTGCTGCAGTCGGTCTGGACCAGTGTGGCGGCGGATACACGCATCATCTCCGGGTATCTCAATGGTGCGCTAGAGATTGCGGTATGTGTCCATGAAAATATGACTAGGAAAAGAATCTTGACCATGTCGGTTGTAGGATATCCCGGAGTGGATGCAGTGGGACTTGGAGAATGCGAACTCCGTTTGTAAGTCTCCGTCTCTTTGCTAAAGCTGGGTAGACGTTGACCTGACGAGGTGTTCAGACAAGCGGATGGCGGAGTATTTGACCAACTATGCGAAGGGGACTCCGAGCTGAAAGCCTTCAAGTATCCTGTGTTTGCTTCACACCATCCAATTGGTATTCGCGCGGACAGACCGTTTTTGTGGCGCGGAGATGGATAAGATCGTCTGTGCATTCGTTGTAGTCAGTGAATCTTGTACTCCAGGCTGCTCAGTGAAGAAAGTGTCTTTTCTCAGGGCCGTTGCGAGCTAGCCCCGGAAACCAGCAACTATGCCTCACACGTCTGTGTCTAAGCATCATTGTTGTCCACATATCGTCATGTCTCCAATAGAAAGGTCAGGGTGTATGTTGCGACCACACCTTGTTCCGTAGCCGCGTTCTCAACATATCAAGCTTGTTATACTTAGGGCACAGCTTTGGAGGACATGTGAACATACATACATCTATATCAAAAGGCTAAGTACTTGCGTAAGGCTTATATTGGACAGTCAGATACTCCACGCGGTACGGTCGCCCTTATCAAGGCTTGGACACGGTGGATGCCAATCTCTACTATCGAAAGGTTAGCAAAGTAAACGCTGATTACCGCCTCTGTGTCTCCAAGTCACAATGTGGGCAGCTGGAAGACTAGAGCGCTTCCGCCGGGGTTTTTATCGGCCGTCTGTTGCCTACCTCGCCGCACTTGGCATATCGCACGCTACAGTGGAGTTTCACGAGAGTGATCCCGATCACCAAGCATTGCGCAGAAGCATATTCCACACAGCGTTTGCCTTCCACCATGACAATCGGTCCTTTCACATGAGCGTTGAGATTCAGGGCAAGCTTCACCGCCATCGAGATCGTCTGAAGAATCGGGTCCAGCAGATGGGGGTTCCTGATTTCTTCAAGCGAGGCCAGGGATTCAGCGAGATTCTCGTCCACCCCAATAGCGGAGAACATTGTGTCCCTCGCCGACTAAATGCTCTTGCTCAAGGCCTGCCATACGCAATGGTGCGAGAAAACATGCTGCAAACATCGGTCCAGCTTCCGAGTGCCCAGCCGGTGTCTTTTCAGGATCTGAGTGCAGGGCATAGCCCTAGTTCGGTCACTCTACCAAAGCTTCGATATCTGTCCTCGGCCTCCACTTCGATCCCCAAGGGCGATGAGCCCAGCACGCTGCCTCTTGGGAGCAAGTGAGTCGACGGGGGTAGTAGGGCCACCGCTCACAGTCGATCGACTGTGCTTCAATCCTCGCAGGCTTCCTCTAAACCATCGTCAGAGCACAGCGACATCCCGAGTACTGCCAAAGAGACCGTATTCATTCTCTCGCAATTCTCACTCTTCCTGGTCAACGCGCGGATGTTTGCCAGTCTTCTGATTTTCTTCGTCGGGAAGCATCAGAGCAAGCAGAAACAGATCCAGGATGCGAAGGATCACGACTTCATTGGGGGCAGGGGCAGGGGCAGGCCGCTGCTGCTCCCTTCGAGTGATCAAGACAACGGGGATGATGCCGATCAGACTGATCTGTTGTCCACACGGACTAAGCTTAAGTAGGTAATATGCACTAGGGACCATTACGCCGATTGGTCCATTGGCAAGAACGCATGCAAGGCTTGTCACACTTATCAGTGCGTGTGAACTCAGTTCAGGCTGCTGTTTGTTTTGCCCGCCCCCACCCCGCTAGGAGCGCGTAAAAGCCCCTCGTATACCTAACTAAGTTAGTAGTCGTTTATCACCACGCGGACTTCACATTGTGATCGTCATGGGGGACGGGTCACGTCCGTCGGTGAGTTGGGCGTCGATTGACATCCGCCGTCCCCACCCAATCCGCGCTCTCGTCAACAGGGGTCACTGAATGACTGAGTAACTCCGGTATAGACTTCTACTCTGAGTCTCTTCACAATATCCGGTGCTGTGGTCTAGTGGTATGACGTCACGTTGTGGCCGTGCCAGCCCCGGTTCGATTCCGGGCAGCGCCACTTCTTTATTTTTGGCAGACAGGGCCCTCTCTCATCTTTTTGGGGGTAAACCCGACTCAAACGTATGGGATGGGCAGGAGCATGTTTGACTGAAGAGGCATTTCGGGGCAGTACAGAAGTCTACCTACAGCCGACAGTCTCTTTCGTCTCCTACTAATGGCTGGTCATGTTATGGTGGACGCTGCTAACATGCGCTGCGGATCGCGCGGAGCATCAATGTCGATTCCACCAGTACGTTCTTGCGTTAATTAAGGCTATATTGAAATAAATATGGTATACAAGTCCATAAAGAGCACAATCAAGTAAAAACTAGCTCATCTCCACAATACAGTGAAGCTGCCGAGAAGAGACCGACCCAACCTCAGGCGTCCGTCGCACAGGCCACCCAGACCGTCGTAGTGGAATAGATGGTCGAAACAACCTCATCTGCCACTTCAGTCACAGCCACTGTCTTTGTAGGCTGTGCATCAGCAGTCATGGTTTGAGCAGCCGTGATCGGACAGACGGTGGTGGAGGCCAAGATAGTCTCGGTGGTGAGGTAAGTGGTTCGGTCACTGCCAGTACAGTGGGCTGCACCCGCCGAGCAGCCCGTCACCGTGGCAGTCCGGGTGCTGAAAATGCTCGAGGTAGTCTCCGTGGGAACTAGACTCGCAGTAGCCTCGGCTGCTGTAACCGGGCAAATGGTCGTTGAGACGAGGATTGTCTCAGTGGTGGTATATGTGGTCCGGTCGGTAGCGGCGCAACGCGAGGCATTCGAGGGACATCCAGTCAGGGTAGCGGTTCGGGTGGAGAAGATGCTGGAGGTAGTCTCGATGGTCACCGGCGCAACCGTTGCAGTAGACGACACAGCGGTGACGGGGCAAACGGTCGTCGAGACAAGGATAGTCTCAGTGGTGACGACTGTAGTTTGAGCTGCAGCCGCACAGGTGGAAAGCCTCGATGGGCAGCCGGTGATCGTAGCAGTGCGGGTACTGAAGACACTGGAGGTTGTCTCGCTGGCTCCGGCCGTCTCCGTGGCCGTCACGGGACAGATGGTTGTAAAATCCACAATGGTCTCGGTTGTGAGATAGGTGGTGCGAGCGGAGGCGGGGCAGGCAGTCACCGTGGAAGGGCAGGCAGTCACCGTCGAGGTGCGCGTCGTCAAAACCGTAGAGGTAGTGAGGTCTGCAGAGAAGAGGCTGGTGGGAGGAGTCACCGTCGGTATGCTAGACCCAGAAGTTACCGTGACTGCCGACGCAGCTGTAGTGCGAATACCGGCACCGGAGATGAGAGACGAGGGCGACAGAGACAAGGAATCGACAAGGTGGCTAGATGCTGCCGTCGATTCACTTGCGGAAGGGATGACGGCATGTAAGCTGGAGAAGGCTTGCGCAGCAGACACTGAAACACTCGCGGACGACCGAGACAGAGGATTGACTGGCTGGCTTGATGTCGCTGTGAGTGCTCTCGAAGACGGGATGCTAGCCTGGGAGCTGGAGATGCTTTGCGCAACAGGCACTGGAACACTCGCAGAAGCGACCGTCTGGAACGATGAGGATGGTCGGATAAGGGGGATAGACGACACAGGCCTCGATAAAGGAGAAGTTGCAACCACTATAGAAGCTGAAGGAGCAATTGATACAACATTGGAAGAGACGGGAACCGCAGATGACGACGCAGCCGTTCCGGAAGCGGCAGAGATCGGGGCAATGGAGAAGCTGAATTGAGGGCTACTCGAGACAGCCGGAGCGCTCGACAGAGTCGTAGGGCTACTAGACGCAATGGACGAGGTCACTCTGGGGCTGCTCGCAACAATGGCCTCGGAAGAGCTGGCCACGAAAGCCGAACTAGCGCTGGCCACTGCAGTCGTTGTTGCCACCACCCCCACAGAAGAAGACACAATGACCGTCGGAGTACTGATAGGCGCAGGTGTCGAGGTCGAGGTTGAACAAACCCTGGTCTCCCCCGGTCCGAAATTATCGAATTCGTACTTGGCCCAGGTGCCGAGACAGGCCCAAACGAGGTAGATGTCCAAGGTAGAAGCTGAGGGAGTAAAGCTCTGCGAGTATGTCGACCAAGCTGGACTGGAGCCATAAGCCGAAGGGTATACGGCGGTTCGCCCGCCGATATAATTGGCGACTACCCATGAGTTCTGCGCAAAGCCCAGATGGCAGTAACTCGTGGCGGTTGAGGTGGTGTAGATCAGGCGATAGTTGACCGACAAAGTGAGGGCTTGAGTGGTATCCAGATTGGTTAAGGTTTGTTTGAGGTAGGTATAGGTTGTCGTGCCGCCGATGGAACTGGATGCCGGGCAAATTAGCCTCAGTTAACCTTGTACAAGTATTGTTCGACGATACGGACAAGTGTTGTAGGGGAGGGGAGTATGTATGGAGAGCAATTAGGGCAAAGAGGCGGGAAACCAACTAGTAATACTCCCCCTCCGCAGCCTCGTCGCCCGAAACCACCGCGCCCGCTGACGTTGCGCCAGTCGCTTGCAAGGCAGTCCAGTCGGTCAAGTCCCCCGTCTCAAAGGATGGGTTGCGGAATGTTCCCACCGTGCTTTCGACCTCACAGGTTACGGTCGCGAATGCTTGGCTCGCGAAGGCGCTGGTGAGCAGCAGACTTCCGAGATCAGCTTGACTCCAACGCATTATGTATGATCAACGAATGACGTTTTAACGAGAGTGGGTGCCGCGAGGGCAACTGAAAGAATGGCAAGGCTCTGTCTGCTACGTACCCGGCAGAAGCTGGGGCAGTAACGAGTCGATATTTATCATTTCTCCTGCCACCCCCTCCGACCCACTGGGAATGCTTATGTTATTATTTTGGTATATTTAAGAAATGACCAGATCGAGATATGCGTCAAGCAGTACGACCCTCTGGCAGGAGTCAAAATCGAGTCATTGCAAGCGACCGAAGCGGGCGCGGTGATAAGACAGTCCAATAGTACAAATAGTTTGAGGAGTGGTGGGGATTGGGCTCCGGTAGTTGGGATCTAGACTATTACCAGGACTAAGTACATACACGGACGAGATGTGCCCCTGAGGACGCCGTTTACAGGTCAGGGAGTCATCGTACCCGAGCAACTTGGAGCCAATCCAAGCGATTTATTTTCTCTTCAAGGTTGAAAAACTGGATAAGTGGGGCAGAAGTGTGCATTAGACAGGGTTTATATAATAGACCACGTGATCCATCAGTTATGCAATGTTGCAATGTTGGGATGTTGGAATGGCTCATCTTATGCTCTACAAATAGGGCTTGAAGAGAAAGAGAAGATTACCTGTGTAACTTGCATGACTCGGCTCAGAAAGCTAGGGGATCTTGATTGCTCCAGTTCTTATGCCTACACTCAGATTGTAGCTCTGGGCCCGGTTGCAGTGCATATGAACATATATAAGACTTAATTTGAATCCAATTTGTTTGGTACTATGAAAGAAAAACGCCTTTCAAAGACTACGACAATAGGCTTTCCACTGAATCAGGTTCGTCCTTGTCATCCCAGTCCAAGTCCCAGATCTCAACAAGGTTGATCTCCGAGTCATCATTCTCACCGGGACAAAACTCATCCTCCTCATCCTCCTCTGTGGCATCGATCTCATGCACATCATCACAGTAAGGATCTTCCGCCTCACTTCTGTCTACAACCTCAGCCTCGGAGCCATCATGATCATCATCGAGGTGAGACTCTTCCATCTCCTCTTCCTCTACGACGTCACTCCCATAATCCCCCTCAGTGACAATGACACCATCATCATCGTAATCGTGATCAGCTGGAGGAAGACTATGAAGCCAGTCATACAACACCTTCTCATCGTGCACGCGGTGGAAGGCGACTCTCCCGTTGATGTCGATCCTGTAGAGACCATTCACAAAATGGTCGGGATCATTTTCATCCTCTGGAGTCTTCACTTCCCGGTAGATCTGATGGTACTTACCGCAGCGAATCATTCCATAGAAGGTTGATGCTTGAGGATGCGTGATGCGCAGCCTATCAAATCTCTGCTCAAGGAGATGCTCCAGGGACCCCCAATATTGCCCAAAAGTGTGCTCCTCCCGACAGAGGACCCAATAGATCTTCCTGCCATTGTCAAGGGTTGAGCTGCCTTCTCGGAATTTAACCATGTTGAATTGGTCTATGATAGTTGGATGTCTACTTTGAGGGATGCGAGCTTGAGAGTGTTGATGGATGAAGACCCGTGTGCCTGCTACAGGCTCCGTATTTATACATGGTATGCACCAGGGTGAGGCAGCATACATAGTCAAAAGATTCCGGTTAGTATGCACTCACAAAGAAAATGTCTTGACATGCTTGAATGTTAGTCTCAAAGAGTGATATAGCCTCCGCTGGCTAGATATACTTGCCTCTTTGTTCTTCTTCATGGTGATTGGAGCTCTCCGGGATCTCAGTTGGGCTGACAGTTGACTGAGAAAATTGAAGAAAGACTGCCAACAGAATGAATGGCGATGGTAGTCAAGGATAAACATCCTGACGCCTCTCCATCGGGCTCCTACTCCCCTGCATCCGAGAATGGGCGTGCTCTTCAACCCCTCATTCGAATAACGCCATCACTCCGGCTATTGCGTGACGTAGTCTTCCCTGTCAAATAGTACCCATGCGAGATGTCGTCTCTTCCACCACCAGCACGAGAGAACACGCTCTGGACTCTCGTGTTAATGGCGGTGTCAAGATCCACGACCATGTCACCAAAGGCCGACCAGCTTGCGTGACAGGCAGCTAATGACCGATCAAGAGATATATATACACGAGGAGCGATAAGAGAGTCGTTAGCATTGCGGGGATACTGGCAGAGCACGCCTTATCCCCTCCTTTCAACACAATCTGCTAGCTATATCTTGACCTGCAGCTAGACAACCTGCGGACAAGTTCCGCTGATTGCAGATCACCATGTTGCATATCTCTTCATCAATGGCGACATGGCCGATGTAGTGTGCACTTTCTTTTTTAACCCCCAGCTAGGCCTCTATCGCTCCTGCAACAGCCAGCACCGTTACAATGACCTCTCCCAAGCAGCGACGATGGTATCAGATGCGATGGTTCTCGGAGAATGATACCCTCGAGGACAAGAAGCTGATTCTCAAGCTGGATGCTCTGATTGTCCCGTATGCCTTTCTGTCCTATTGGACGAAATATATCGACCAAGCCAACCTGAGTCAGTTCGCCGCATCACCCCGCAAATCAGGACTGACATTTTCGATTTCTGCCTTTAGACAATGCCTATGTATCGGGAATGCAAGAAGAGATCGGCCTCGGTGGGGATGACTTAGTAAACCTCCAGACGATGTACACGGTGGGCGCGGTGGTTGGCCAGCTCCCATTTGCGTATCTCTTTACGCGAGTGCCCATCTCATGGCTGATCCCCATCATGGACATCGCCTGGGGCATCTTCACTCTCCTCCAATACCGGGCTACATCGTACAGCGAGATGATGGCCTACCGATTTCTGGTGGGATGGTTCGAGGTAGGTACCCCCTGTACCCCCATAAGCGGCGATTCGCATCTGACGTTCATCGGCGATCAGGCGGCGTTCTTCCCCGGAATGCATTACATCTTTGGGGCCTGGTATCGCGGAGACGAGATCGCTCGTCGTGGGGGCTGCTTCTATGTTGGTCTGACACTGGGCACCCTCACAGCCAGCCTCATCCAGGCCGGTGCTTCCTCGCGCCTGGATGGGGTGTCCGGCCTTGCCGGGTGGCGATGGATGTTCATTATCTGCGCGATCATCACCATCCCTATAGGCATCTTGGGATTTTTCGTCCTACCCGGGACTCCCGACAAGCCCAACCGACTGATTCTTCGGCAAGAAGACATCCAGCGTGGGCGTGAACGACTCGAGCGCACCGGTCATCGGTTCACCTCGTCCGGCTTCTCCACCCTTCAAACCTGCCGTTCACTCCTGAAGAGCCAGAAATTCTACATCTTCCTTGTCCTAGACGTCCTGTTCTGGAATGCGGGCCTCCACGCCTCCGCAGGGGGGTATCTCCTGTGGCTGAAATCGCTCCAACGCTTCAGCACGGCCACCCTGAACAATCTCTCCGCTATTGCCCCCGCCCTCGGCATCTTCTATACTCTGTTTGTCTGCTTCCTATCAGACCTCTGGCTGGGTCCGGCGTGGGCCATTGTCCTAGCCCACACGTGGAACAGCCTGGGGCTGATCATTCTCACGATCTGGGAGGTGCCCGAGTCGGCCAAGTGGTTTGCGTTCTCGACGATCTATGCGTGTGTGGCCATGTCGAGCGTGCTGTACGGGTGGGTCAACACCGAGCTCCGGTATTCCCCGCAGGAACGAGCCGTGGTCCTGGTGGTCATCAATGCGGTCTCGCAGTCCACGACTGCCTGGACACCATTACTGGTGTTTCCGACCGTGGAGGGGCCGCGATTCACCAAGGGTTATGCATTCACCTTGGGGTCTGCGCTGGCATTGATAGTGGGGACGATTGGGGTCTGGGCCGTTTTTCGGAGGAAGGCGATGGTCAGTAATGGAGAGGAGGAGGAGGAGATAGTCGTGGTGCAGGGGAAGCGGGATGGCAAGACTGAGGGCACTGAGCAGTAGCGATTCCCAATTTGTACATTTGTACATATGTACATATGTACTGCACGTGATTCGCAACAAAAAGGAGGAAACGCAGTGAAAAAAAAAAAAGAAAAGAAAAGAAAAGATGGGGCAAGCCAGGGTCGAACGGGTCCCCTCCCAATCCTCAGTCTGAGGCAACAAGCCCTAACTTACCCGCCTCGCTTGATGCCTCCACTTCCAACCTCGCTACTGGATGACCCGCTAGAGCTGATATAGACAATAAAAAGCGAATTTTCAAAAAAGAAACGTTGGGGCAAGCCGGGCTTGAACCGGCCACCTCCAGATCTTCAGTCTGACGCGCTCCCAGATGCGCCATTGCCCCTTTTGATGCTATGTTGCAAAGGTACTATGTCTTATGAGCAAGTAAGAACGTTCTACAGATTCCACGCACTAATTGATCCGGGCACAGCGCCTTAGAAGACCGGGATGTCTGCTGTGGTTGCACGCGGAGGACCAAGCCCGTAATCGCCCGGTGTACTCGGCCCCCTAAGCAGCCATAAGAATTCACGCCGAATCGCCTGCCACGCCCCAGTTGCGCCATGGACCCATAGATCATGTCAGCTAGCCCTTACTTGTTATCATATACTGTCCATACTGCCCATACCTACAAGACTCCACAAGATGGGGCTTCTGCAGCATATTTAACATCTTCGTGGCTGCTTTTTCATTGCAGTGAATTACTGCGTCTTCCTCTGGAATTGCTAGTGTTGCTCTGTCTGTCCCCCTTGTCCTCATTCACAAAGGCAGGTATTCATGCACCCGCTGCCATGTTTTCTGCACCGGATCCCGCCGATTCCGTGTAAACCGCATCCCCGTCACTTCGTTGCTGGAATCATCGCTATTCATTACACCTTCTTGCATGGTTCGCGGTGACGAGCTCTCGTCCTGACGCACGACATTAATCGGTCCGATTCGCGCTTCTTCCGGAATGTCCGCCAGCGCCAGGTGGGCATCATTGTCCGAAGTAGCCACAAGCCTGCCCTGTTCCCGGGGTAAAATATGGCCATGGATGCAATCCTCAGCACCCTGGTCCCAGACCAGCTCTGTGGAAGACTGAGGCCTACTCGCGGGTCTCAGCGCCATCGCGTTTCCTTCTTCTAGCATAATAATGTTTTCTGCAAAACTAACAGCCGCCGTAGCACGGTAGAAGCCAATCACCGGCGGCGCTCGACGGAGTAACTCGACTGCAGCGCGTCGAATGCGCGGCTCACGACATCGGAGGCTCGTGAACCACAGGGGCAGTCCAACACCAAGATCAAATGTGAATGGAGGCTGTGTGCCGTCACGTCGCCTGGACGCGTCGAGAGCAAGGCCACATTGGTTGATAATGATCTGGAAGTCCTCCAGGCAGTGATCCGCCATAGTTTGGAGTGAGGATACGCAAATGGTCGCTAGAATGGTGGTGGTCTTGTGGTACGCTATGAGAAGCGCGCTGTTGACCACCTGGTGTTGAGAGAGTGGCCCTTTGTCATGGAGCGAATCCAGAAGCCTCTTGAACGCGACGTCCCACTCTTTCAATCGCTCGAAAAATATCGCCTGTGTGTGAAGCAACCTTTCGCTGACATGAAAGCAATCCGCCTGCGATAGCTCGGCCAGACACTGGCGCTCGAAGAGCATGGTCTCTGCCCCTAGACTAGTGAGAGCTTCGCGCGCGCATCTCAAGGATGCGAATTTAGCCGACCATACTGGGGTACGAGCTCTCAGTAGACTGTCCATTCGAGTGGCCGAATCACTAAAAGCGATCACTCCGAGCCGGATGAAGATCGGGACAATCACATCCTCCAGCAAAACTGCCTTGGAGGGTGGAATCACGCCAGACGAGACTTGGACGCGCAGAGCCTGGATGAGCTGTAACCCTTGCATGAACAGCTGCAGGGCTTCTTTTTCGCGTCCCTGCAGGGTCTCAATGCAAATGAAGAGAACGCAAGTGATCAGTCCCACAAAGATATTGACCTGCCCGCGCTCGATGCGCTGACGAATAGCCGAGACGGAGCGCGAGTACCAGGCCAAGGCATCACTCTGCGGTTGGTCAATGGGCGGCACGGAGACCAGACTTGTTGGTTGATCGTGCGTCTCGAACAGGGCACTGATAGAGATGATGGCATCCCACACGGCCGGTTCTCCCTGACACAGCTGAGGCACGAAAGTGCCCCAGAATTCGACATCCAGATCACCCCCGACAAACAGGGCTACGCGTTCGAAGTAGTAGGCAAAAGCACGACGTTCTCTCCAAACGGTGTTGGGGGCAAACGCCAGGGGATGATCGAGGGCTGCGGTGGAAGGAGGCGAGGCGGACGAGAAGGTGCCCGCCACAGCCTTGACGTACTCGCACTTGCGACCGGTGCTGCTGCATCGGAGACAGTTGGGCTTTTCTTGTCCACATTTGACTCGACGGATTCTATTACAACATGCTTAACTTCCGGATCGTGACAGGCATTGGGGCGGAAGGTAGACCCCACTTGCAAGTTTTGCACCCCAGTCGGGATCTCAGGGGCAGGCCGCTTCCTGCATCCCCACTGCAACGGGAAGCGGATGGTTTCGGGGACATGCTGAGCCACCTCGACGGAGCTGACGAGATGAAATTCCCCAGAAGATGGTGTTGTCATTCAGATCTTGCAACAATTCATGCTGATCAGGGGCTGCCAATGGATGCGTCAGCACATCACATGAGAGTGCTTGGCGACTATGCCCATCTAGGCAGCGGACTATATCACCGAGCATTATACACATTGTGTTTATCTATGTTATGACTATAGTCTATAGTACATCCTCGACAAAACAACCACCAATCACTCGCACACAACCTCACTGCTCAAGAACGTCGCATCCACCTCAAAGCACTGGGTGGTGCTGCTGACCTCGTACTCGCCATACAAGGACTCTTCGGTACATCCCGTCGCGGTGTAAACTTTCAAGACGGGCGAGGTCGTGCTATCATCACAACTACCGGAGTAGACATGCGCAGAGAAAGACTTCAACGGCAGACCCTGAGCTGGTCCACAGCCACCGGAGATGACGTTGGCGGACTCAACGCTCGGGGAAACGCAGTCGGCAAGGTAGTAGCCGCTGAACGCCACGTCGATGGTGGCAGCAGCAGTGGCCACGAGGGCGGAAACGAGGGCGAGGGCCTGTCAGGTCAGTAGAATACTCTCAAAACACTCGATCTCACCAACCTGGAACTGCATATCGGCGAGGACGCGGTGGTTGATAGGCTGAAATCCGAAGATCTGAATGCTGGGCAAAGAAGCTGGTGCTGGATAGGGAGAACCAGACAGGGGTGGAATCGAATTTATAGACGCCGTCAAGTGCAGCCGAGCAACTACGAAAGACCATGAGCTGATGTTCGGACCGTTGGCAGTACAACTGTTTACTGTGTAGACTGTAGACTAACCCCGAATGCCAAGACCACTCCTTAAGCGAGATCTTATCAGATCCATATTCCTAACATGGCAATCTTGCCCGGATGCCAGCAGCACTTCGTGACTCGTCTCTATCCCCGATCCTTTGCCAAGCATTCCTGCTCGTATCGCTTACGAGTCACGGGGCTGATTGAGCGGGCAAGGGAGGGTGTTCGACACAAGCACTAATCTACAAGTTGAACCAGCTTGTCTAATTGCAGATAAGCTCACGCTACTAGGCTTGTATACTTGGCAGGACAATTGCCCCCTCGTATCCAGAGGCTCCACAGCTTCACCCTGCCGTAAGTATACTTATCCGTGTTGTGGCTACACCACTCATTGCATGGGTACGGATACGCATTGGATCGGACAACGATGATCTAGCAGAAGCTTTATTGCACTACTGTAGTCTTTTTAGCACTCGTCGCGTTTCAGCACTATCTAAGGATGCAAAGTCACGACTTTCGTCTGGACAAATTCCTCTAACCCCCACCGAGCGCCGAACCGACCCCATCCGCTATCCCCGTACCCCCCGTGCGGCAAAGTCGGTTCGTCATGCACCGTCATAGAGTTGATATGCACCGCCCCGGCCTTGATAGATCCCGCGAGTTCCAGAGCGCGATAGTGGTTTCTCGAGATAATCGAACTCGACAAGCCGTACTTGGCTTCCTGGATCACAGAGACAATCTGTTCTTCGGTCTCCAGTGAAACGATCCCGACGACCGGTCCAAAGGACTCGATCTCGTACAGTTTCATCTCCGGAGTCAATCCCGTTACCACGGTCGGAGGAAAGCTCTGCGGGGTATGGCCAACGGCCCTAGGGGCAGTGTGGATTCCAGCGCCCTTGTCCTGTGCGTCAGACACCAGCATCTCCAACTTGGCTTTTGCAGCCGGAGAGATAACCATCGGTGCTGTCTCAATCCCATGCAGGATGGCCAGAATCTTCGCCTCGAGAGCCGGGGCCACCGCAGTCGTGGCCAAGACCATATCCGTGGACATGCAGATTTGACCGTTCTGGGTCTGCGTTAGCAGCGTTCCTCGCAGGCACAGAGAGTGACTTACATTGAGAAAGGCGCCTTTCGTAATCTCTCTGGCCGCCAGGTCCAGATCAGCATCGTCGAGCACTACCGTAAAGTTCTTGCCTCCGAGCTCCAACAACACCGGCTTAAGTGCCATGGCGGCCTGGGATGCAATAATCCGGCCGACCTGCGTCGAGCCGGTAAAGTTACATTTCTTGATGGCCGGGTGGTTGATGAGAGCGTCGAAGATCTCCGGGGCGTCTTCTGGGCGATGGAGCAGGAAATTCAGAACGCCGGGTGGGAAGCCAGCCTCGCGGAACAGGGAGGCCAGGAGGTAGTGAGTATGCGGGCTAAGCTCGGAGCCCTAATCTCCGGCGTCAGCCACCGGAATGTACGGCACGCCTTCACTTTCATCTCTCAAGGAAGCCTACCTTCAAAATGGCGACATTTCCTGCCGCAATGGGGGCCACTACCGACCGAAGGCCTAGGATAATCGGTGCGTTCCAGGGGGCGATCCCCAGCACCACTCCCAGCGGCTCTTTCAGGACCATGCCATAGCCTT